TCTACATGCATTATTATGAATCAAAATTATTTGAAACTTTAAACTTTCCGGCATGGTTCCGCTACGTAGACGATACTTTTACCCTGTTTGAAGGTAATAAAGATGATTTAAATAGAGTTCTTTCAACAATGAATTCTATTGATCCTGCTATTCAGTTCACTTTTGAACTTGAGACTTGCAATTCTCTTCCGTTTCTCGACATTCTGGTCACACGTAACACATCCAACTTCAGTACTACAGTTTACCATAAACCTTCATCGGTTTGCCTTCCACCACACTTTAAATCATGTCATCCGACTAAACAAAAGTTAGCTTCATTTTATTCCTATGTTTTCCGTGCTCTTCAAGTTTGCTCCTCCAAACTAGCCCTTGATGAAGAACTAAATTATTTAAAAGCAATAGCTATTGACAGGGGCTTTTCACCCAACATTATTAATCAAGCAGTTAAAAAATTCTCATCTCAACACACTAAAAGCCCCACTCTTATTTTAGGAAAAATTCTGTTGTCATTCCCTTCTTTCCATCAATTAGCTATAAAGTTGCACATATTTTGCAGAAATTTAACTTTCGGGTTGTTTACTCTCCCATCAATAAAATTCCAGCTTCTATACTCAAGGACCCCATTCCGGATATGAATTCCTGGGGTATTTATAGGATTCCTTGCCAGTGCGGTTTAATTTACATTGGCCAAACTAAGAGAGCCTTAAAATTTCGCGTCAAAGAACATGAGGCATATGTTAGAAAAAAGGAAACACAGAAGTCCTCTGTTGCTCAACATTGTTGGTCCGAAAATCACACTTTCAATTTTTCTGCTGCCAAAATTATTCAAAAAACATCTTCCATTGGAGAACTGGATTTTTCTAGAGGCATTTCACATTCATAAAAATCTTTCTGTTCTAGTTAACGATCCTAATTCCAATCCAAATTTGCCTTCGGCTTTTAGAGAAATTATGTTTTAGTTCTGGTTTCGCCAACAGATGGCGCCACTTGCTTATTCTTGTCCAGGCTTTCTTATCTTATCTAAACATTATTTCCTATCTTGTTCATTTGTGGTTTTGCAGCTGAAGATGATGGTTCGGTAAAACCATCGAAACTAGTCCTGTGAAAATTTTGTAAATTAACGCTGATTTTTGTTGTTTGACTTCTGAATTAGTATTTATTCGGCGTGTTATTGTGTCTTAACTTCTTACACATTTTCTTCACATTTTATATAAACCATCTGTACTAGGCAGATGATTTGTCAGCATTCTGATCTCTAATATTGTATACACTACGTGTGAAACCTGACTTAAGAAGCAGTGTGTAACAGAACTGTGTTTGGTACTTTTTTTAAATATCAAAGATTTTTTTTACCTGCTGTATTCCAGGTTCAGGTCAAGCAGTTGAACTGGTTGTGTGGTATTTTCATCTTTTCCCCAAATTTAATGTAAGTATAAGTTAGTTTTCCTTGGAAGTGCTTTCAGATGCATTTCTTCTTAGCCAGACAACCATTGTACGATAATTAATCAGCATATACAACCATAGAAATGAGAAATACAATCAAGTAAAACATGCATATGATCTAGAAATCAATATTAACCCCTTCCTTCTCGCTCCTATCAAAATGATGAGGTGATGTTTTGCCCTCTATTTTGTCATGCCCATGATGTTCCGGGCTGGAGAGTTCAAAAGCAACGTGCTAAAAGGATTGAAACCTATTCATTTCTTTTGCCCGGAAAAAGTTTTACTTCTCATTTTACACACAAGATGGCAGTACCAGAATAATATTTTATGCAATTAGAGATAGTTTATTTTAAACTAGATGTCAGCACTAATCAAACATGTATTTATGCTATGTGTTTTGTAATTTTATCATTAGCTCAATCACATAGTCTCATTGTGAATGCGCACGTGGTTTCTGTTCTGTGAGAAAATATACTTATATTTTTATTCCGTACATTATGGAGTCAGAGTCAGATAGTGAATTGGATTCTGATTTTAGTATAAATGGATCTGAAAGAGATTCTGAAGTAACTGATTTTTATGAAAATTCGGTTAGTGAATCTGAGAGCAGTGACGATGGATCTGTACTTTTTTTTGCCTGGACGTGCATCTACTTCAGCAGATCATGCACTTCACGTTTTAAATTTTGGGAAACACCAAAGGTAAATATAAATTTTGATCCAAGTTCTGGTGTCTTACAATATTTCTTTTTTCTCAAGAAATTCTTAAATTTCTCAGTACAGTCAAAAGTCGTTAATCCGGACTCATCGGCACTTCGGCGATTCTGGATAATAGATGATCAGTTTAAATCTGGTAAGATGGCATGCAGAAATTATAAAATTAAAAATATGAAATCATAATTTATAAAACAAAGAACAATTATGATCTAAAGGGTATCAAAATTTACAAAAAAAAGCTTAATATTTATTTGTCTACTTTATTAAACATTCCTTTCAATGTACATTGTTTACGATGCTTCGTTTTTTATGTGATAATACATTCTCTTTAATTCTATAAACAGACATAATTTCTTGTTCAGTTACAAAGTTCCGCTGTTCAAGGCCTATAATTGCTGTGTCGAGAATACTGACTAATTTGTCAATCGAAATTTTTTTGTTTTCAATAACCTCTGTCACTTTCTTCGCTATCGGAAGCGAATTATAATGATGAGGAATTTGATTTAAATCATATCAAAGACGGAGTACATCGAGATGAAATACTAGATTTAGTAAGGAATTATAAGCCAAATAATATAAAAACATCTGCCCTGAAGATAAGGATAGTGCTGACAGATCAACTTCCAATTCATTGCACGCCACGGCGTTAAAGATAAACAAAGTTTAGATTAACAAACGTTAAAGTTTAGATAAACAAAGGATTTGCCTTTATCCATTTTTTGCAGCAATTCCACTTTTTTTAATGGACTTCAAAACATACTTTTGCTTTGTAGATCCTTTACATATTAGTAAATATATATCAGAAATTCTATTTGACATAATCGAAAGTTCAAGCTTAGTTTTATAAAATTGCTCTAACAGTCTGCAAAAAATAATAAGCCGAATCCAATTCGAAGATTAAGGAACAACGCAATCTGCAACATTAAATGAATTAGATAATTTTAGCTTAGCTTATATCGTCCATTATACATTAAATGCCCATTTGTAAACGTATTTTGCGCACGTGCACATGCGTATTCACAGCTGTAAAGGTCTTATGTGCATGCGTCAATGTGACACATGTGCAGAAAGTTTGTAGCTTTGAGGTCTGGATTATAGATCATTCCGGATTATGGGTGTCCGAATTAACGACTTTTGACTGTACAGTTATTTATTATACAAGGTATTGTAAAATAAAAAAAGATACGAAAATGTATTGGAGCAGAAAACATTCAATTTCAACACCTCATTTCAGAAGCATGATGCCTTGTAATAGATTTTACAAAATACACAAGTTTCTGGATTTTGTAGATAATGAAGATTTTGATTGTAACACACATCGAAATCCCAAGCTTCATAAAATCTGGCCAATGTTACAGCTCCTGAATGAATTGTTTCAAAGAGCTGTAACTCCTAGACGTGATATTATAATTGATGAAACCCTCATGCTTTTCAAAGGTCGTTTAGGATGGTGACAATATATGCCGAAAAAGAGATCCTGTTTTGGAGTAAAATCATATATGTGAATGAAGTTCAGGGTATATATGGTCACAAATTATATATACTGGAAAAGGTAGGTTTTTTGATGCAAAATATAAAGATCTGCCCCAATCAATTCAAGTTGTGATGCCACTTATCAAGCCTCTGCTAAAACAAGGATATTGTCTGATAACAGATAATTTTTATACCTCACCAGAATTGGCAGACATGCTTTTAAAATTTCAAACAGACACTTAAAGAATTGTAAAAGTAAACCGAATAGAAAAAATGCCTCAAGAAGTAGTAAAAAAGAGATACGCAAAAGGTGAAAATGTTTATTTTCATCAAGGTAAAGTTCTTGCCATGAAATGGGAAGATAAGAAAGATGTTGCCATGCTATCTACAGTTCACATAAATGACATGGTAGATGTACAGTGTCATAACAAAGTTGTCAAAAAATCTACAATTGTGACAGATTACATTAAAAATATGGGAGCAGTAGATATTGTAGACCAGTATCTTGGAGATTACTCTATTGCTTGGAAAAGAGGAAAGAAATATTATAAGAAAATATTTTTTCATTTGTTAGACCTACCTATTTTGAACTCGTATCGTATTTACAAAAAACAGATCGGGAAAAAATCCCATTTGATGTTTCGTTCATCTTTAGTAGATGAACTTATTGACAGGTATCAGTCATCAGATACCATTTCAAAAAGAGGCCGACCAAGCTTGGAGGATAATCAAAACCGCTTGATTGAAAGACATTTGATTAGACAAGAAATAAGAAATGCCAACCATCAAGAGAATGCAAAGTTTGCTGTTCCAGAAGAGATGAAAACAATAAGAGATGTAGGAAGGAGACTAGGTACTACTGTTCAGATTGTGACATTGACCTTTGCATCTCATGCTTTGAAATTTATCACACAAGAAAAGATTACTATGTTTATATTATACATAAGTTTAATAAAATTCTCTTTTAATGTTTAAAACACATATTTCTGAAATTTTCCTGGCTTACTGGAAAACCAACATTCAGTCAAAATAAACCTGAATGTCGGCTTGGCTTTTCCTAAAAAATTATCTTTTAAAAAATTCAAGCTATAAAAATTCCAGAAATTGATAATTAATGCATATATTGTATATGCATTTATTTCTATGCAGTTTTCTTCAATAATAAAATAGGCACTTTTATGACCGTTTTCTTGAAAACGTTAAAAGAAACGTCTTGAAACATTCCAAACGTTAAAAGGTTAATATAAGGATATTTATTGTATATGTCTCAGCTAAATTAATTTAATATATCAGTAATATCATCAACAACATATGCAAGAAAAACATTATTCAAAGTCATGAAATATTTTAAAATTTTTTTAATACTACCTGCAATGGTTTCTTTACTTTAACACTTCCATTTTTATCAACAAATGCAAGCATGACATCAAATGTTTCTCGAACATCTATTTATACGAAAAAACAAGTAAACCTTCATATAATTCAATTTTCAAGTACATAATAAATTATTACTCAATTAATTTAATAATAAATTCAACTAATTCAAGAATAAAAATAATGAATTCAATAATTAATTATTATTAACCAACAATTAATTTATTTTCAAGTACTTAATAAAAACTTCAAAATGCTTGCAAAGTGCATTTACATTAATGTTAAGTTATTCGCAAAGTAAGCAAAGATACTCACAAAGTACATTTATGTTATGCTAATGTTAAGGAAAACTACCACAAAAATTACCTTTCCGTGTCAAACATAAGATTATCAGTTAACAAAAGGGCAAAATAAAGGAATATCGAAACATACTCTAAATTTAATGACAAGAAACATATTAAACAGAACTTTGAGAAATGAAGGTAATAGGATAAAAAAAAGGGACAAAAAATAACAACAAAAAGAAATCTATATAAGTTAGTCAAATTCTAGAAGAAAAATTAGAATAATATGACACTTATTTTTGTTCTTCCAATTTGTGTAACACTTCGCCCACAACAAAACATAAACTAGTAGCACATATCTATGCAGATTATTTTTGCACATACATTTAAATAGGGAATGATAAAGACAGCATGCTTGCTTCCCGAATTACCTTATTTAAAAATGTTTACAGTGCCTGGAGTATATAGATTATAACAGATCTTGGAACATGCAGCTTTTTAAGAGTTCCATCTCTCGTAAATTAGGTTCCAAGTTTTCAGATTTCAAATGTGATTATATTTCAGTGAATGCTCACTTGCAATGTGAAAGCCAGCATTTGTCTCTACTGCTAGAGTATGTATAATTATAGCTCAAAAGTGATGTAAAATAGGCATAATATGATGGCACAGATGTATCAGTTTGCAACCATAAAAAAGATATAAACTATATTTAGAGAAAGAACGTTTCCTTCTTATTTTTTATATTCACTGATGATATATTTTAATGCAACACTTAAATTACTATATAGACTAACCAACATCATCATATTACTCCTAAAATCATAAGCATGGCTTTGAAGAAGAAATTAGGAAAGATAACTCAAAAATAATGCATACATGTATTGACGGATATATTTTGAAAAATTCAAATCTTAGTATAGACTTCTCTGACAAATTTTCAGAATCCTAAGAATAAAATCATAAATTGCTAATTTACTTAAGAATAAGATTTTCATAAAGATATATTTCCTTTATTACAATGTTTTACAACATAATCACATACCTCCTAGCTTTGCTTAAAATGGATATTTAAATATATAAATAACTATCAAACATGACTAGCTTATGAATATATGAAATCAGAAGCAAACAAACTACACTGAACCTTTGCATCATTTATTTACAGTACAAAGTCTTTAATCCGGACTCATCGGGACTTCCGCGATTCCGGATTAGGGGTTTTTCCGGATTATAGATCATCAATTTAAATCTGGTAAGATGGCATGCAGAAATTATACAATTAAAAATATGAAACCGTAATTTATGAAATAGAGAGCAATTATGATCTGAAGGGTAACAAAATTTACAAAATAAAAGCTTAATATTTATTTGTTTACTTTATTAAACATTTCTTTCAATGCGCACATGCGTAAAGCATACATTACATAGTCGAAATTAGAAAATTGCAAACAGAAAACTATTTGATGTGTATTCATTATATTTATAATGACGAGGAATTTGATTTAAATCATATCGGAGTACATCGAGATGAAACACTACATTTAGTAAAGAATTATAAGCCGAATAAAATAAAAACATCTGCTCTGAGGATAGTGCTGACACATCAACTTCCAGTTCATTGCACACCGCGACGTCACCCCCCACCGCCTGCAGAGCAGCGTGAAATTGATAAACAGATTTCGGAATGGTTAGAGAAACAAATCACCTCTCTGTCACTTTCTTCATGACTTTATCCATTTTTTTCAGCAATTCCACTTTTTGTTTAATGGACATCAAAACATGCTTTCGCTTTGTAGATCCTATGGCAGCTCCAGAATTCAAAACTCTTTTTGACATAATCGAAAGTTCAAGCTTACTTTTTATAAAATTGCTCTAACAGTGTGCAAAAAATAATAAGCCGGATTCAATTAGAAGATTAAGGAACAATGCAATCTGCAACATTAACTGAAATAGATAATTAGATAATTTTAGCCTAGCTTAAACCGTCCGTTATACATTAAACGCACATGTGTAAACGTATTACGCACATGCGCAGAATGTTTGTAGCTTTGAGGTCCAGATTATGGACGTCCGGATTAAAGACTTTATACTGTTTATTGTTACCTTATTTCCTTCCTTCATGTTCGTATGGGGTTTGTAGATTTGGAGTGAATAACGACGACAGTTGATGAAGTATCGAAACACACTTTATTTAGCCAATATTAATCAGGACAGCTCCCAAATCATGTTTTACAGTCATCGGAGAACTACTATAAGCATGCTGACACAATCAGCGACACAGCCTTCACACTATCAGGCTATAACCGTCGAGACAGTTTCGCTGTAAAGCATCGGAGTACAGCACCCGACTCTGCTCGGTCGTTCTTAGAACTCCAAGTACTCTCGAGACTCTCCATGCCATAACTTGCGGTGCACTCGATGACACACAGAGAACAGCTCCCGACTCCTCGGTTCAGTCATTTCCGGAGCTCAACACACTATCTCGATGACACACTAACCGCAATACACTAAGAGATTCTTTTGGTGCACTCGACGATCCACTCGGCACTCGCTGACCGAGTGTCAATTATGGGCTAAACCGGTAAGAATTTGTTCCAGAAAATTCTCCATTCGTCCATGGCAATCATCAGTTTTGTCGCCAAACGTCGACAAATGGGCGATTTCTCGCCAAATATGGCAAATCTGCCTTCCCTTGCCTTTTTATGGCAACCCTAAAACTTGCTTTGCGGGGAAGCTATCTTACCGCACCTGGACATTTCCTAACAATATATAATAAAAGTATATGCATAATGCCAATTAAGCAAGACCTACATTGCATGAAAAATGAAACAAAATTAAAAAATTAAAAATTATCACATATATATATGTGATGGATATTTTTAGACTTGTTCGTAAAAATGATTAATCATGTTAAAATTATTCATTTTCTTGATAAGCTTAAAGCACACTAGGGCTATCTGCCTAAGGGAAGGGATGCCTTCGTGGGCAACTTTATAAGGGAACTGGCTTGTATACACGCTACACATGGGGTAAAACCACGAAAACGCCCATGCAGCTAGCCTGTTCACGGGATTCGAACCTCGGACCGAATTACCAGTGTTCAGCGACTTTACCGCTCGGCTGCTGGTGGGCTCTTAATCAAATTGTTGATTTATAAAGATAGGTACAGTTTTTCGTATACCTTTATTACAGAAAATATATGTAGCCTAATAAATAACAGTTACACAATAATATTTCAAAAAGTTTTCAAATATTATACCTTTATCTATACGAAATGCTAAAATGGCAGAAGACTGATCTATTCCTGGAATGTAACTTAGTAAATTTCCATTTCGAGACCACAGAGCTACACTTCCATCTACTGCACACCCAAGAATATAGTTATCCTAAATTTAGAATACGTATTCAACAGTGAATAAGATTAGTATACACTTCAGAAAATAGAAGTGCACTTATGTCAATAAAAAACAAAATTATAATAGAAAACAAATTATGTTAAAATTTTTAGAAAAAATGAGTTTCATTAAAAAATTACATAAACATAAATTAGCTCTCCTTTCCAGATGCTTCACATGAAAAAAAAAAAACATATTTAAGTTTTGAAATAAACTCCCAACACAAGCTGTTAACTTCAGCCAAATATGCATACTTATTAGATTTATGCACAAACAGGTTTACTCAACAGACAACTAATATTATTATCAAATTTATTCAAATTACATAAAGAAAATTTACAATTATTGTAGGGTTTTCCTAACCTTACAAAAATTACAAATTATTCTTTAAAAATAATAATTATTATTAATACTTTTAAACTATTAAATTAATGGACATTACCTTAAAATTGCTTTAACTTTGAAAAAAGTTGAGGGGGCAAAAACACGATGAAAATTAAAAGCAATGTAATTTAAACAGCATTTATAAAAAAATTATATTTAAAAAGATTAATTCTCTTTACTTTTAATAGCCACATAATTGTTTATATTATATATGTGTTTATGTGATATTAGAAATTATTTATATTACATTAAAAACTTAATGACATTTTACATACAATATAAACAATCATTTAGTTTCTTGGATTAGGAATCCTGCTCTAGAATTTTGTTAATGTAAATTGTTAGTCCACTGACATACTTCTTTACACAATAGTAAAATTCATGTGGGATGCAATGCAATTTTTAATATAATTTATTGAAATCTATAGTTTCCACGATTTTGTGATTTCAGTCACTTTCAAGGACCTCCTTTTAGTAGAAAACAAATTTTAAATAATTCAGTTTTAATGAAAACACAAAAAATTCACATCCTGATTACACAATTTATAGCTCATTATTTTTGCAACAATGCATTAAAATCACTTGTGTACAGAGTTGGCAGAAGTTGGCTTACAATGCTTGCACTGCAGATGGGTGCTATCCAGTCGTACCAAATTTCATTGAACAAATACATCATATGTCTTTAAAAACACATAACTCAAAAAATAAAATATACTGATATAAATCATATTTAATACAAGTATACTACTAGTGACTAGGTCACTACCATACGTACTGCCATTTGGTCTTTTAGGCATTCTTTATATTAATTCATTTTTTTAATATGTTCTATGATTTTTTTACAAAAAAAAAATAATTTTATGAGAAGTTTTAGTGTTTAGCATTATAAATTCTTTACTTCATTTTTAATAACATATATAATAAATATGGTTATACTCTTAATAAAGCTTAATTGATAATTTAAATGTGTTTGCAAACAGTAGTTACAGAAATAATACATAGATTTTCAATGATAGATATTCGTGGCCAGCTCTGTCCAACACATAAAGCACAATCTGACCACTAATGTTTTAAACCTGAAATTTGAAACAAATTCAAGATTTAAAAATATTAAATTTAATATACGTTTAATGGAAACAGGCAGAAACAAAATAGAAAAACAACCGAACTTAAGAGAAACAACTTTTTCTTAACAGAAAAACAGGCAGGACAGCAGAAAGATGGTAAGGGTCTAACAATCACTGTAGTGTTACATTCTTTTACCAATGTTGATTAACTTCCTGACACATGTAGAGTTGCATTCCAAAATTTTGTCCATTCCTTTTTATAGGAATTATTCCTTTCAGTACGAAGTTATTCTCGTGAAAGTACAAATCTTAGTTTAACATCAATGTATTTCACACTTAAAGAATTCTCTCTCTCCTGTTAAAATACAGGGGCTAGACAACAAAAACAGTTGGCCGAATAACACTCCAAATATTAAGCCAACATATTCACTTCTGGTTAGGAACTTTGAAAGATTCCTAAATTTATCAATTGAAGCCACGTTTCAGTTTAAATTTTCATTAAATAGTATTAATATTACATACTGAGAATTATTGGAAATAAACAGGACATATTAGTCTTCAAAAGAGAACAAATAACTGGTTCTTGCTTGGCTGGTGTATTTTATTATCATGGTGGTAGAAGCTTTGATGTAATAAGGGCCACATTATCAAGGTTCATGTCTATAAGCCTAGAGAAGTGAGAATTCCATACATTAATACTGATTTTCAAGGTAAGAGGAAGTTATCTGAAAAGGAGTAATAGTATTAAAAAGATATGAAGGCAAAAATATAAAACAATGATTACTCAAATTGTGGCAGAACTTCATAGAGTTAATACATTACTGGCCATTAGAAGAAGAAAAGCAAGCAGCAGAATCTTATTTATTGTACATATGCAATGAAGGAAGTCATGACTAAGTTTGCAGGCAGTTTGGGGTACACAGCATGCACAATTCAGTATACACAGCTGCCACTTCTGGCAGCAACAATAGCTGTAATCCAGCTGGGCATCAAGTTGGGCTTAGTTAGGATGACAGACACAGGTACTACTACATTCCATATGGTTTCAACGCTATGCCAGATTTCATTAACTATAATGGATGTCAAGTGCTGTCATGTCACACTTTCTTGAACACCCATGACCAGATGTCCTTAGCGAGAGAGAGAGAGAGATGAAGAACATGCTAGTCGGGGCAACAACAGAACACCTTCTGTCTTGACCAAGGGCAGGGCAGCATGGGCAACATGCAGTCATATATACCATTATGAAAGACGGAATCATATAGACTTCAAAGATAGGGTATGGCCACGAGCCTTAACACATCAGATATGCAACAACTGTTCACATTACCAATTATGTTGTAGGGATTCATATTTATTTTAACTAACAAGTTAAAGTTTAATTTTAAAACTTTCCTATAAGCCTTCATTCCCCTAATTGTCAGTGCCAGAATATTTTAATGTTGTAGTGTGGGTGAAGGAATGCAAATTTCTACTTTGAAGAAAGTACTTAAAAGCCGAGTTTTGGTAGGAGAAAAAGAGAGCTAGGCTATAACCGCCAGTTTTGCTGTAGGTATGTTTGCTTATTGCTGGTTCAAGTGGCTTAATTGCTGCCATTAGCTTCGAAAGGGGTTTAAGTTATGGGATCTCACTGAGCCCTGTAGGTTAGTTCTATCACTTGTTAATGCCTTCAACTTTTAGTTTCATTATCTGATTTTCAGTTACTGCCCAAGCAGAGGCAAGATTGTTTGTGTCGAGTTGACGCATTGTAAATTTTAAAGAACTAATAAAGGGTGCTTCAACCCTTCTCTTGCATAGTTAGTACTACTCCAGTCTTTCACACGGAAGTTTATCTACTGGACTGTACAATGTGAACAAGAGGTAGCATCCCATACCAGCACACCAGGTGCTCGGCTTGCCCACATGATGGTGATGAAGGCAAGCTAGTAACATATTCTGTACACAGAACCAGGATTCATCTGAAAAGAAGAATCTTCTGCCACTCTTCTGTCCATTGTCATCATCATCCATCACACCGCTGTAGGCATGACTGTCTGCCGCAGTATCAAGGTCAGCAATAGTCTCTGTGCTGATAAACTGAGATGCTGTAGACACTGTCAAACTATCTGACTGGATACTTATCATTGTGAACATGAGCCAAGTTCCGAACTCAAGGAACATAATGTGGCTATATGACCCTACAGGGCTGATAGGACAACATATCTGACATCTCAGGCCTTAATAATCAGGAGTACTAAGATCCTATATACGATTCAGCATGGCTGTACTTAACCCATCAGTTCCATACTGACCTAAGAGTGATGGGATCTCAATCAACATGATCAACACGTCATAGAGTGATAAACCACAGTTCCAATAGGTCACTATGCTGCCGAGGCTTAATTCCAATACATGCTGGTAGGAGTTCCTTTTTTTTACATGAGGCATAACATGAGCGTTATACAAACAAGTGATGCTCAAATTCCAAATGAGAAACTGTGCCCTCTTTCCAGTTATACACAATGTAAAAGGCATTATCCCTGCCTACTTTGTGTACATGTGCTTGAATGTTAATCATTTGCATATACTAGCATGTAATATTTTTAATGCAAGTGTCATGTTTGCTGCAATTTTAATGGCCAGCAGTTTATTTATGATCATGCCAGTGGCGTAAATAAGGGTATGCAAAGAATGCCGTCGCATAGGGGCCCGAAGGCTTAGGGGGCCTTGAATGTCCTGCTGAACTACATTTATTACGTTTAAACTTAAAAGACGATGGATTCTTTTATGACTACTATATATATATCTATATATATACAGTGGTGGCCAAAATTGTGGACACTTTTGGAAATTTTTATGTTTTTGAAGTTTGTATGCTTATAGAAAACATTACGTTTCACAAAATGCAAACTTGTATATATCATTTTAAAGAGAATATATTACTGAATTCAATACAAAACACAAAATTCAACTATTTGAAATACAAAAAAAGTTAAATGATAATAGTTATCAATATACATCAGATAGTGATGATTGCAGTGAGTTATCAGTACTTAGTAGGGTACCCTTTATTTTTTATTACAGCTTTACATCGACGTTTCATCAAGAGTTTTAAGCTCGTCTTTCATTATTACATGATGCCAGGAAACAATTAGAGCCTCAATTAGTTCCCGTTTATTTGATGGGCACTCATTCGACAAGAGTTTTCAAACGGTGCCACAAATTTTCGATAGGATTGAGGTCAGGACTGTTTCCTGGCCATGACAACACTTTAATGCTCTTTGTACGAAACCACTCTTTCGATATTTTGGCCGCGTGGCAAGGAGCAGAATCCTGCTGAAAAATAAACGAAGCATTGTTGGGAAAGAGATCTCTGATGGAAGGTAGAAGTGTTGGTTCTAGAATAGTGTCAATGTATTTTTTGGCATTCAGTGTCCCATAGATGACATGAAGGCGACCAACACAATCTACTGACATGCATGACCAAATCATAACACTAACTGGGTTCTTCACAGTTGCTTGAATGCAGTCAAGATGTAGCTCTTCTCCTATTCTACGTCT